TTTTGAAGTGTTTAGGGTTTAGGGTCCTGTTTTGAAGTTCCCTACAATAAGGTCATGTTACTTAAAGGTCTACATTGGGGTCCTCCTATTCATGGACTACCATAGGCGGCAGAGAACTTGCGCGTTTGGAATTGGATTGAAGGTGGCGAGGGTGCACAATTGTGCAGTCCAAGAACTTCACTTTTGAAAATGCATGTAAACTACTGTTGTTACTGGGTATTCCTGTGTAGCGACATGCACGGGTATTGCGTGTTGCCCGCTCGGAAACTAACCGCCTCCGCATCTTCATGCTCTGGAGCTGCACTTGGCTCAGTGTGCTTTTGTCGAGTCGCAGGCATGTCAAGAAATGGTGATCATGGTAGCTGGTCTTCTACGGCTTCTGCCTGACCAGCTTTAGTGATGCAGGCTGGAAAAATTAGGCGTCCAATCGAAAAGTGCCCTTGGCAGCATGGGGTCTCTTGCTTCGCAATAACCATTGTTGCAGCTAACCGGCATAGTCGAATGTAATCCAAGACTGTCTGGTGGAACACCGCCTATGAAAGACAGTCTTGATGTTGGACACTGCCCGCAATCCACGCTGACATCTGGTGCTGGTCCACACTGCCTGCTCTGAACGTTGCAGCGGCAGTGAGATTGAGAAAGCTGAGAAAGTCCGTCGCAGGTCGACTGGCCTGCAGGCACGTGCTCTTGCAGAAGGCTTTCGAAGCGCTCCTTGGCCGCCGCATAGACCTCCTCATCCGCATCATCACGGAAACCTTGAAGGCTATCCTCCATGTATGGCTGATGGCTGTCGTGCTTGTGGTTGTGGTGGAAGTTCATAAACTCTGCGGGGTTGATGGACCCTCCAAACATACGGTGGAACAAGCACACGGTCTCATTCCAGCGCTCCGTAAGCCCCACAAAGGCTAAGTCCGCCACCGCTCTCTTGGCCTCAGTGACTCGGGCCATTCCTCCATCAAAGGGCTTTGTGCCGCGGGAGTAGTTGCTTTCTGCACATCTCTCGCCCGTCAGCATGCGCGTCATGCACCCTGCTATTCCTGGGAACCGCGCATAACAAACTACAGAGTTGGTCGTGGCATTGTTGTAGGAACAGCTGTGGTGCAGCTGCACATTCTCCTCTGGCCAGAAGCCGTTTGCATGGAGCGAGTCTCCGTGGGCCGAGATGATTCTCTGGCTTGGCTGCCGGAAAAGAGCAGCGACTTTGAAGTCATTGCTGCGGATGTCCTGTGTGGAGATCGGCCGGTGCTGTGTAGTAAATTTCCCATGCAGCACTCCCGCGGTACAATAAGTGTTCCGGGGATACCGCTCCATAAGGGCAAAGTCATAGCAGCGTGGACATTTCAAAGAATGTTTGTCACTGACCGTCAGATCCAACAGCTGTTCTCGCTGGCCACACGCATAGTTCCAAACTGTGGCAATGAAACTGGTGCCAGCCTTGGGGAAGTGAAGCCAATAAAGGTTCTGAAGAGATGCATTCGCTGATTCGTTAAACATCATTCTCTGACTGCATGCCTTGGCATCCGTATCGAGCTCGCTTGGAGTCAAGGCCCGGGTGATGGATGCTGCCTGAAGAAGGCTCGCCTCTTCAGTCTTGCATGTCCCATTTCTGCTCCTCACGAAAGTAGTAAGTGTGGCCAAAAAGGCCAACCGCCACATGCGTTTGCAGGGCGAGAGAACGACGAGTGGGGGTACGGTACTTTGAGCCGTTTCATCTGCAGCGAACACCTCTCAGGCAACCTCCCACTCTCGCTCCGCTCTGTTCTTGAAGGGCAAGGTAGTCTGAATCGCATCTGCTTGAGGCAAGACAGGGCACACTATTTCGACCACTCTTCTTATTACTATCCAAATTTCCGACTATTAGTACTATTAGTACTATTCGTACTATTAGTACTATTAGTACTATTAGTACTATTAGTACTATTACTATTATTACTATTATTACTATTACTACTATTACTATTACTATTACTATTCCTATTACGACCACCACCACCACCACCGGCGCCGCCACCACCAGCAGCAGCAGCAGCAGCAGCTGCAGCCGCTAGTAATCGACCTGACAGTGGTTGTCGTGGTGGCAGTCGTGGCGATGGTGGCTGGTTGTGGAGGGGTGTCAGCTTTAGTAGGGGGAGTAGCAGCAGCTGCGGCAGCAGGAGCGGCAGTAGTTGAAGGGGTCCAAAGCCAACATGAACTGCTGAGGCAGTTGCGCCATTCCTGAGCCTCCAGAGATACTCCAGATTTAATTCTGGGGATCGGCATGTAGTACCTGTATTTCCTTGAAAAGATGCGCCTGAGGAAGAGCATGCATATCTCCTCTTGTGGGCAGCACCTGGTCCCCATTGGACAGGCCAAATCGGATTGTGCTGGCGGCTCCGCGATAAAGATGTTGAATTCCAGCTGCTATGTTCCTAATATGCAGCTAGTAGTAGTGATTTGCTGCATGATAAACGGCTAAGAATCTTGGTTCTACTAAGGGTTCCAGAAGTGGCATGTAAGGCTGGGACGAGGCCCCACTGCCGCCATCCCCGTTCCTTTCCACGGCAACCCTTTCAGTCCTCCTTGCTTCGTTCAACTGTTCACACCTTACCAGCCTTGTCAGCGGCTTTTCACTCAGTTTACGCTCCCAAGTCCCAAGCCGTTTTGGTTGGAAAAGAACTGTGAACGTAGTTCGTGGTTCCGACACTGGTGTGTGCGAAGGGCGCACACCTGCTCTGGATAGAGCTAGAGTGCATACATACATGCACATCCATACTTGAGTGCAACTCTGGGCTTCACGCATTGGATTTCAAGGCTGGCTTCGGTTGCTGCTGAGGTTCGGGAATTAGATGGGGACAATCGCTACACTTATGATTGTTCTCGAGAGCACGCGGGATTTTCCGTCAAGAAAGGTCTACACAGCTTGTTGGAGATCCAGGTCGGAAATGAGACATTTTCAATTCTCAAGGATGGTATTTCATCGGGAGGTTCTCACCCGCGGCAGTTACACCCTGCATGTGGCATGCTCATCATCGATAATTTATTCGGACTCCTGGCAGAATTAGAGGGATCCAGGTACTGGGTCCATGCCTGCCAGTTCCCGGGATACGTCGAATGCAGCGTTGAGCGTTCGTGGTTTTGAAGATGTCGGTCCCGTACTGCTGGGTCTTTCCACTCAGGGCTATTTTGCCTCAAGCGAGCGAAGAGCACAGAGCTCTCATCATGCACTTCCTTCGTGGATGCTGAAATGTTAGGCCTGGGCCTCTACAGAGCTTCAATTTGTAGAAAGCCACCGCTATAGAAGAGTTGCCGCCCTCGTTTGGCATAGTTCTCTAGGGATTGGGGCAGAGATTATGCTGGAGTATGCCTGAAAGTTGGGGTCCCCCCAGCCTGAACCAAGCTATGTACGGCAACACAGAAGGTATTGTTCTGACTCGGTCTCAGCTAAGTTCCTCTGACCCATTTTGATGGGACTTAGGCAGGCATTACATAGCCACAGACACAGGTATATGTCGTTTATCATGAGTCTCCTTGACTCCGGACCCTTGGCTCCTAGTAGGCCAAATTACGTATCTCATGCCAAAGTGACCTGAGGCTTGGAGGCTGACTTAAACCAGAGTAGCGAACAGACGAGCTTCGGTGTGAGCATAGCGCATCTCAGGGTGAAGTCAAGCTCCTCAGGTACAGCAAGAAGACATGGTGGTGCAAGTAGTCAGTTAAGGTTTTGACACATAGAATCAACGCTGGCAAAGACATATCTTAATGATTCAAAGCCCTAGGCTCCCTGGCTCAGGATGCGCTGTCCATCACAGAGGTGTTGGCTCAGGAGTCGACTTTCTTTTGAGGGCTCTGTACCTGAAATTGGTGAGTAGGTGGAGGTCATGACCTCTAGTTTTATTTCAGTTTCAATTCCACTCGAACCATCATGCCTTCAGTCCTTCCACACGGCAGCCTGTAAGCACCTAGAGGGTCGACTCTCATAGTCGCGAGCCTAGGCCGAAGACCTGACACCCTAAATTGCATTACTTGTAGGAGGTCCAGAAGTCTGAGCACTCAGTGGCAGAAGCCCCAGGGTAGGTGCTTCGGGTGACGGTCTGGGGTTTCAGAGCACTTTTGAAGCTCCACATCTAGCATCAATGTTTGAGCTGCGGTGGGTTGCGGGAAAAGGGAGGGGGGGGGTCGGAGTTTGGAGACCTTTTGCACAGGGGTTTGGACGTGTTAGTTCGGATTGGACATCCAGCTAGTCTGGATGCTGTACCATGCTTTTTGTGTAAGGCTAGGTTTCTCTTGGGGGGTCTTCCAACCTCGGCTAGACACCTTCTGTGGAGCAGGATGACAACCTTATCATCTACAACGGCTGGGGCACTGCAGATTGCGACGTGATTCCACCAGCAACTCGCGTTTCAACTGGTTCGTCCAGCGGGGGGGGGCTTGAATGACACAAGGCAATGTCAGTTTGATTTGGAGGATAGGGTTTCCAAAAAGAGTGAGACTCTGTATTCCTGATGTTCTGATGTGCTGTGACAAGGCTATGGGTCCTTCGTGAGCCAGGCAGCATGTGTGCGATGTCGGGTATATGGTTTATATGTAGTTGTTACTCTCAATCTTCAGATTCTGCCAGGCAGTTAGGAAATTTTCTGTAAACCGTATACGGAATTCTACGTAGCACAACTTTCGATACTCACAGTGGGGGTTGAGAACCCCTACAAAGGCTTCTACAGCGCAGGGGGTTTCTATATGCCCAACTGCAAACTGAATGTACCGGACCTCACACTGTCTAATCTGCTCGCAGCCTTTTGCCTCAACGCCTGAAATCCTGAGCATTGAGCTGTACTAGCCTGCATCCTACCATGAGCCCCCTCTGTTGCTAGTGCTTAGCAGGGAATGAGGGAAAGATCTAGAAAGCAATTCATCAGTTTGTAAGGCCCGTTGACGAATCCCTCACCCCTTCCCCCGGCGAAGCCTGAAAGGACAGAGACTACTCTGGCTGCCCGTGTCGTAGCTGGAATGGTATCATTGAGTACCGTTGCGAGGTGGGACACCTGTTTACTTCAACCCTGGATGAACGGCAAAGTGGATAGTTGACCCAGGGCTCGTTGAGGCAATTGGATATGGTTCCACAGATTTCGACCTGCAATCTTGGACTATGGGTACAAGGGTATCAGAAAGGTGGGCATGATTTCGGGTAGAGAATTTGTTTGAAACCTCAGGGTTGTTTGGTGAGCCAGAGAGTTTGCTGCTGTTTTTTCCAGTCTTCATGGATTCACAGCTGGAAGGTTAAGCATTGGCAATTTGGAGCTGTATGATGGCAGGATTCTTAAGGCAATTTGGCAGTAAATCTAGCTCGAACCTGTAACTCTGTCCAGATCCAAGCCCCACACCGGCACTCGCCTCTCAGCCACTAAGCCTAAGCTCCCAAGCCCAGCCCTTAACCCCTACACAAGCTGAAGACCTCATGCCTCAGCTTGGTTGGAAATCTCACAGGTGGAATCTGTCTACAGGGACCAGCACCTGCGAAGGCTATTCAGGGCTTGCACAAGTTTTCGGCACCGAGTGGATTGCCCGGATAGGTCCATCCAATTTACGGTTCCTGTCGTGTAGGTTCCCAATGAAGGACTCTTCCACCCCTAACCCTAGCAAACCACGCAGCCTGTATTTAGCTTTTACACTTTCGCAGTTTCTCTTTTTTTCAGGGCTTTTCCGTTTAGGCTTGGCGGTAGGAAGAGGGTACTTGAAAGGAGGGCCGGCCGGGGAGGCGCGCTCAGGAGATTTCGGGACACTGGGGATTTGAGAGCGACAGGGGATTCCTTTGAGGAGCCTACCCGCGGAAGTTCAAACCCTGAAGCCCCTACCGCGTGTACGTGCCTGGAGAACTACGCTCTGCAGACTAGTCACGAAAGTTCGGGGTTTCGTTAGGGTTTTAAGGTGTCCCTTGTCAAGAAGTTCTGGCCTGGGAACATATTTGCTTAGTGTCCTTGAATTTTAAGGTTTACAGATAGCTTTTTTGCCCCGTATCTTCTGTGGCCATTCTGTAACGCTTTTTGATGAAAGGTGAGGGCTCGTGTGACGGGATGCTGCGGCTCGTCTTAATCAATGCTCCCACTACATTGCCTTGGCAGTACAAAGTGGAAATTAGTAATTGCAGGGGGACAGGCTTCGCTTGGATTTGGAATCACCCTGAGAATACTGTAAGGCGCCCTCTCATCTGACAGCACTTCAGTTGCAGGCTCGTCGCTGCCATGCATCGGGACACCACTTTCGCAGCAACTGGGACACCATAAGGTTTTTCAAAGATGCAGTCGTAAGCCTTAATGGCACCCTTGACCTGAACTCCGAGCTGGAAACCCGAGAGCTCTGAAGCCCATACATCTCCAGTCTTGCGATGTGAAAGCAGCAGAATTCTCATCAGGTTGGGGGTATTGAAAGTCCAGCATACCTTTACAACCGCCGATATGGGAGTTTCTCATGCAGGGAGCGTGTTGAGCCTAAAACCCTAGCCCACAACTGGCAGCCGCTGAGAGGATGTGGAGATCCTTTGTGGGAATCAGAGCCCCTAGGCTGTGATCAGATAGGCGAGAGTTTGCCGGGTTGAGAGTTTAGGTACCATGGCTGGATGAAGATATGATGCGATTGTATATGTGGAGGCTCTTTCTGAAAAGACCTTACTTCGCACAGAAAACGTGTGCTCTTCAGAGGTTTCAGCTACCTCAGGGCTTGGACCATCAGCGTAAGCCTAGGAGCCAGGAACTCGCATGCGAAGACGAACACGTGCAGACACGAAAGCAGGATACTTTTGCTAACCAAAAGGATGTGGACGTATGACCCATCAATCCCAATGCAGATCGCGTACCCGATGGGCCCCATCCCTATGATTGTTGACATTGTTGGAGCGCAGAGAGGGATCCTCCTCTCAGTTTGCAATATGCCTATAGAATCTGAATTAGAACGTCATACATCCCCTTCACTTTGCAGAGCCAGCCAAGGTTTCCCAGCCCACAGGTTAGTATTGGCCTCTGCATCTCCGGTCTTTGCGAAGATGCTGCAAGCAGACGCCCAGCCATCTTTTCTTCAGGCTTCGGGGTGTAGGATCCAGAGTTTGTATCCAGGATCTAGAGTCTTGGGGCTTTGACAGGGGAGCGGGTCACAAGGTGAGGTGTTGGCGTTTCAGGTTCTTAGCTTACAGTGGGGGCTAGAGAATTCAGGCTTTCAAGGTTTCTGGTTTTGGCGTAGAATTTGGGATTAGGGTCAAGCAATTCGGCTTTAGAGTTTACAGTCTGGAGGTAATGATCCTGAGCGCTACGGTCTTGACATTTAGTGGGGTTTAGGGCTGGGAGCTCGCAGTCTTTGCGGGTTCGTTTTCCGGAAGATCGTATGGGATTCCTCTTTTTTTTGGCTGTTTTCAGGGCAAGGTTTTGGAATTTGGGCTCGCCTCGGCAGGCAGCAGGGCCTGTTTGACCGGTCTTGGCAGCGCCATTTTCGCGCAGGAAAGAGGTGTTGAAGCTCCTTGGGGTATTGGGTTGAACGATCTCAATAAGAGGAGTTCGCGAACCTGGTGTGTAGGCTGGAGGAGTTGAGGTTGAGCATTCTATGATGGCGGGTTGGGCCCGTTTATGGTTTGATCTCGGTTTGCGCATCCACAGAATGGTGTACCCAAGCGAAGACATGTATACTCTATACTCATGCCGTGCAATTTAGTTCGCAACAGGTCAGGGAAGCAGTTCCTCACACACCTGCGATGGTCCGCGTAATAACGTAGCGTGGTAGTTGCACGCGAATTCAAGAGGGAAAAATGCGCTATGCCTCAGGGGTTTGCATACGCATGCTTGAGGACATTTTTGTTCTGGTTCAGAAAGAGACCTGCAGCCATGGACCTACAGGCTAAAGCAATCTTACAAAGCTTTGGAAGGTGGCCGTGTTGCAAGAGTGCAAGCACGGCTCGACGCTTCAAAGGTTTTTCTGTCAAGACCTTCAAACGTCGGAGTTACCAAACAAGGTGGTTATGTTGTTGCGGATCTGACGTGCAGAAGTCCAGGATCTTGGGCTTGACTGTGGAGGCCATTCGAAACCCAGCGGGCCTGTCTCTTGATAGCTGAACCATGCCTCCTTTCAGGTGTGCAAGATGACTGTCTTGGCATTTGCTCCAAAACCTTGGGTAGCGATCATCTATGCGCTGTAACTTGCAGACAGCAGCTTTTGAAATCTGAAAGCTAGCCAACAAAAAACCTTACAAGCAGGCAGCAGGTCGTCTTTCCCCTTGGATACCCCTGGGAGTGCTAAGGGAGTTTCACTAGCCTAGAGCAGGTGCATTCCAGGGTAACGCCTGCGATTAGAGCAGCGCGTGTGATCATGATTTTATTGCCTTTGGTAGTATGTCGGATATCATGATTGTTGGTGTTCTCCATGATGAAGGCAGACAGCATGCCTCGCAGCCCAAACCGGAAGTTTCTTACACTTGTCTGGGCATAGAGATATATACACAGATGATGGGGCCCTTCTCGAGAGAAGTGTTTAGCTGTTACGTGGAGGAAGGGTCAACACACGATCCTTATGCGATCATCGCCCAGGAAATGAAAGAAGCCTGCACTGGAAGAATAACAATCGAGGCGCGAGAGAGAGTTTAGGCCGCACAGGTTTTGGGATTCTGGCAGGGCTTGGATTTGAATAGGAAATGGGTTGAAGGCATGGGGCTGAGTTCGAGGGATGAGCAACGGCAAGGGTCAAATTAAAGTGAGAACAACTCGACCTCCACTTATGCTACTGTTTGGAGTGTGTTAGGCCATACAGGAGCCCCTATGTAGGTTGAACTTGCTCCGGATCTGCAGGCAGCTATGAGGGAGATGTTGCGAAGATGGTTTGTGGGCCGGGAGATGAGAAACGGGAAGGAAACCTTGTCCCCTCATGTGCCAATGTAAACAGTACTCATAGATTCATGGATGAATCATCCTATTCAAGCAATGATGTAATTCAACTCCATTTTTTCATTTTCCCCAAAGCAAGGAACACTTATGGAACTATCGGAGCGAGAGATAATATAAAAACAACAGATTGGCAGGAGCTTCCCAAACTTACACACCCAGTAGTAGTCCATTCCCCAAGACCCCAAGTCGTGCCAGTTGTTGTCCAGGCGTTTCTGTCAATTCTGGGCGTCTCTCCAAACAACCCCTACAATTCCTCACATAAACTCACAAGAGGACGTGCATCATCCCCTAGGCTTCCCCAGACGTCGCTAGGATTTTCAAGGGAGACCTGTCGTTGGAAAACTGCGGTATGATAGTCTTACAGCCAAGTCTGTTGCCATGAGCAGCACTGTCAATGCACGATCCTGGAGGTACCAACGTACCATGACTTCTAGGCTACGCCACTGGGTATGTAGCGTCATACAGGATGATGCCTATCAGAATACTAGCTGTCTGTAATCGTGAATGCATCCGTCGCTGTTTCAGTTTCTATTCCTGTCAGAAGCACGTTTTCAATGGTCCACATTCCTGCTCTTCTGTGATGCCTGCATAGTCACAGAGCTAGCCCACGACCTCAGTCTTTAATTCAGCAATTTTGCACTGCTTTGTGCAGGACGTACCTCCTGAAGTGGTCGCAAAAGCTTTGCGATACATGTACACAGGCCCTTGCTGTGAATGGGAACTGCTGGGTGATGTCCAACAGCCTCCCCGCCCAAAGTGAAGAGTTCCATAGGGACAACACAGACAGAAAGGGACGAAGCAAGCTTTCAGGCAAAGGAGGACAGGCCAAGAGATATGTATATGTACAGCCTCCAAACATCATGGAACCCCCAAAGGGGCACAACGACTACCACGACTTGACCTGGTCTTGTAGTCCGCACATCTGCGGTCTTAGAAGTTAGCAGACCCATGCGCCTCAAGGCAGGCTCAACAAGTTGCGTGATTCCTTGTATTTGATGTAATTAAGAAGGACTATCTCTGGTGAGCATGGGGGCACGTGGAGTTCCGTGATCTTACTTTGCTCAAAAAGTGGCATAAACCACCGAAGCATAGTAGCTCAACACCTGCAAATCTACCCTCTGTACTATACCCCCAGGATGCTCAAGGCTGCTTGGAATAAGCTGCATGGTCTTTCCATGGCCAACCCTGGATGAAAATCAACTAGCGCAGAAGAATCGTAAACATCTTCCGTAAAAAGTAAATTATGCTTATAGTCTATGATTTGCTCTTTGTTCAGCCCACGCTGTACATCTCCGGGCCATCTCAATGAGGCATCCTTCAAATGGACATATCAAATTTAATTTTTCCATGGGTTACGGCGGCCTTCCTCTGCAGCACATTTTCGGGGGTCTGGGAAACGATCATTAACTGGAAGTTTCGGATGAGCTTTCCCAGTTTCCTCAAAATTTGAGTGTGTGCTCATTGATCTGTGCCAGGCGAAGTCGCCGACGACACTGGCTTGTGGTGAGTGTTAGGGCTAGGGTTTAGACAGGGTTGGACGTGTGAAGAGTGTGAAGCTCCAGTATGTGGGTTAGTGGTTCATGGCGAGACTCCATCAGTGCATGTCATGTTTCTGGGCTGAGTTGTTCGTCAAGCATGTTTACAGGGCTTCACGAGTTCTACCCAGGGTCCGATGGGTCTGATTCTTGTTCTGTGGCTGCGTGGTCTCGCTGAAGATCTTCACCCCCTTTGCGGGAGCAACCTAGGATGTTGAGCTCGAAGGGGTGACAGGCTGTTACAACCTTAACCCTAAAGACTAAACACAATCCACAATCCTAAGGCCCAAGCCATCATGAAAATCAGTGGCATCTGTGTCCCTGTCCAACTTACATATCACAGGAAGCTTTGAGTTTGGAGCCCCCTACTGCACGACAAGTGTTGGATTTTGGATGATCTCACCAATTTCCTTGCCCTTTTACTCTGAGCTTTGTAGGCCCTGTTAGCTTCCTATGCTACGCCGCTAAGAGCTAGCTTCTGGTCAGGGTGCTAAGTGCCAGGCTGTTGTTGCGTTATCAGAGGCTCAGAAGCTACCTTCGAAGAGTGCAACAAGCCGGAAGCTGCACATAGATGTCAGTGTCAAATGAAGATAGACAGAATTTTTGACGACATGAATAATGAATACTGTGCCTTGTCAAAGATGCCAGTCCGAAAAAGTCCATGCTGCCTCGGTACAGGAGGCAGAGGGAAGTGAATCATTCTGTTGAGGCTTCCTTTGCCAAACTCTGCATCCTAAGTTTCCAGCCTAGACTCTACCTACAAGAGGCTTAGCTGGCAGGCTCCGATTTTCGGATTGCCAGGGCTTGCGGGCCCGGGCGCCGATGGGGTGCCTAGCTGGTCCCACAATCCTTCAATCAAACCTTTCGCCGTTGCCCCTGAGCCTTCAGTCTTGGGTTGGATGTGGGGTTCCTTGAAGGGTGCCCCTCCTGCTATGATCCTTAAGAATTTGACTGTAGACAAACGGACAATCGTCAGGGCAACGCCCACCACATGCCCGAACAGGAACCCCTGTGGATCCTCATGCCAGCAAAGAAGTTGCTTGACAAGACCGCACCTCAAGCGATACAATAGATCCGCGGTCTCTCAGAGTTGGCTGTCTATAGTTCTAGTTTGAGCCGATAAGGCAAGGGCTCACAAGAAGACGTCAAAGAGGAAAGATGTTGCCCTCCGCCGCGCTTGCCACGCCTGCCCAACGCCAATCGTAAACCAACAGCCCTGAACTTGAAAGGCTTATCCTAAATCCAGTAGCCCCTGATCCTAAACTGTTACACGCGCAACCAGTATGGCCATATGAGATGTCAAACCAGGATGTTGATATTGAGTCCTTGGGCTTCGCCCACAAGTACGACATCACAGGCTGGCCTAAAGATAAAAGCGTGCCTGTTCGAGAGCTGGACTCATCTACTCCAAGGTCCACTCAAGTAGGTTTGCCTTAGTCTGTACCTGAGAAGAGAGCAGCTATGTAGTCTCCAGCAATGTGGCTCCTTTCAAAAGAATGTCTCAACATGTTGGGGGACCTGACCTGAGGGCTTCCCTGCCTGGGCGTCTTCCCAAGTCCAGCTCACAAGCTTCTTCAGCAAAGGGTAGGAGTGTCTGTAGGACGCATGACCAAGACTGGTCGCTGCTCATCTTGTACGAGCTGTTCTCATTTCGGGCAACGTTTAAGCGGTACAAGGGATCCCCAAAGCTTGGGAGGCATGATGCAGCCTGTCAGCAGCAAGATCCTGAAGATGCTTGGATGCCCACGGCTTTAGTCTTTTTCTCAAAGCGGGGACCCGTCATCCTTGCAGATCCCATATGACAGGATCGTTGCCTCAAAGAACACCAAGAAGCGCTGCGTACTTCCGAAAAACTTTTGGAGTCCACTTGGGCAACTTGTTTCTCATAGCGCTGCCAGATCTTCAAGGACTGCATGCTCTCGTTACCAATCTTCTTGAAATAGTGTCTGACACTTGCCCCGTCTGAAATGAGTCAGGAGTCAGGGGTTGAGGTTGCCTTTGGGGTGCGGGTCTGCTGGCTTAGGTGAAGCTTTCCTTGGTTCTGTGAGTTAATAACTTTCTGCATGTTTCCGGGACTTAAACATGCCTTGGCATGATCCATGTGGCCTGTTCCCTCAGTTCTGTTGTCAATTTTGTTTGGAGCCTGATGTGCGACTACTGTGAACTAGCACCCCACATCTTGGCCCCCCCCAAAGGGCCCATGATGTTGACAACAGCCCTTGTGCACCAGCAGCCATGGTCCTGATGGACCAGGAGGTTGCTGTAATGCGGGGCAGCCCATGTGAGATTCCTTCAAGCAGTATACAGTGTTCTTTGGCAGGGTTCGTGATTTGGGTTCTTGCAACATCGCCCCTTGGCTGGTTTCCTCTGTTTTGGGAGAAGGTATTTTAGACAATTGTCTTGTTGGCAGAGCATTGCCTGCCCAACGCTGCAATTGAGGAATCCTTGACTAAGGGGCCCCGTATATGGGGGAGCCAGAACTCCCCAAAACCTTCCCAAGGCATCCCTAAGACTCCCTCCCATATGGCTTCCTAATATGGGGCTCTCTAAAATGATCAGGTCGTTGCAGGGTCTTATAGGTTTGGCTTACTGCCAGTTAGGCAAGATTGAGGGTGGAGGATTGCGAGCAGTCATGCGGATGACAAGGGGCGATATTCACAGCTCTTCAGGTCTCACCATTACCTGGTTCCATTCCCATGAGTATGGACCTCTTACTGGGAAGGTCCAAGCTGTTTAAGAGGTCGACCGTTGTTTTGTTTTCCTTTCTGGGCTGCTGAATATGCCCGGAGAAATTCCATATGCAGCTAAGCGCGTATCTTAGAATCTTGCTTGTTGCTATTTAGGGAAGAAGGAAGCAACATACTGCTATTGCTGAGACAGGGGACCTTGTGCCTTGGCAGGGCAGCTCACAGGCTATCTGTAATAGATACACCAGGCTGGTGCGGCCCCTCATACTGTCCCACCTCCGTGATTCCAGAACCAAGGCATGTCAGCTCAAATTCCGAAATGCTACCTGAGCAGGTGACAAAATCCCTGTCCTTTTTCTTGGTGCATGCATGTTGCGTCAACTTTCCCAAGCTTTTACCCGCCAACCCACGCCCCTTTGAATTCCGCAGCAGACCAAACCGGTTTCACCAAAGGAACCTCTCTCCAGACAATGTCTCTGCCACCGTGCGGTCTCTGCGTGCCCTGGTCATATGTTTTCTCATCTGTTTCTACGGAAGCCCTAAGCCCTGTCCTCTCCTGAAATGTTTGAAGCTCCAGTGACTCCGCCTATGGGTTTCGAGTGTTAGGTTTGATGTTTTTTGGGTTGTGGGGTTAGGATCGATAAGCCTGAAGCCAAGTACGAGAAGAACTGCATGTATTGGTAGTCCCCGCATGTCCATGCCAGCTCGACCCTGCTGACAGTCTTACTCATCAGGCGTGCGCTCTTCTTGGAAGTTACGCTAGAGATCTGTACCAAAAGCTATATGCCCATCCTCTGGTTGTCCACTTGCTTGTTCGCCCATCCATGGTTTCTGTTCGATCATTTCACCCCTGCATTTGAACCGGTGATGCCTCCTGATGGGAAGTCTGAGCCTTCATCATCAATGTAATGGTGTGTGCAGTTGCAGGGTCTTGAAATGCCGTCCGAAACCTGAACAAGAGGAGCATATGCCTACCACCGCTAGAATGAATCAACAATCGAGGTCCATACAAGCGTGCGCACCCGGACGCGGACCTTCCTCTCTTGAACATGTGGACAATATTGGATTTGGATTCTTACGGGTTTCTACGCCGGTATACGCTTGGTTCTCTACTGGGTTTGTGAAGTGTTTGCAGGGACAGAGGCCAAATAAACAACAGCTCTCATGAACTACGGTATGTGGACATTGTGATCCCCGGGATGTAGTGTAGTTGATAGCCTTGTGACTCTCAGGTGAACCAGAGACCTAGAATTCCACAACTCTATCTTTATCTGACAGCACCATGTGAGATTCAGCTTTTTCAGCTTTTTCAGCTTTTTAGCCTGGAGCCTGGGAGCTGTAATGAACAACCTGAGTTCAGAATTTTGCCCACAGCCTCCTGCACCATTAGTTCAGAGTTCAGGAATGATAACAGACATCTTCATCTACCACTGGATTCCGAAAAGCTAGGACATGTTGAGATTTTCCTTCTGGAAATGATTTCTCCAGTGGTAAGGAGCGCAGAAGCGTCATCTGGGTACTTCCCTCGACCCTAAACCCTAAGCCCTGAACAGTCTTCTTGAAGGATTCGGAGAACGGATTATCGGAACTACATGCTCGCGTTCGACAGCGTGTGCTTTGGACTGCTTTATTGAATCATAGTATACTCATCTTTAAATGCATCCTTTATGGAGACTCCATGAAGGAATTCATCAAATGATCTTCCTTGCCGGGATGCTGAAACGAACGGTTGACAAACCACATCTCAGTCGTTTACTTTCCAGGGGTAGCACGATTCCCAAAAGAGAACGAGAATCGCTGTTCTTTTAGCTCAGGAGTAGCAACATCCATCATCAACATCGAGAACAGTACCCAACCGTCAGTTCAACACTGCATCGACAACTTATCTTCTAATTAAGTAGGCGCACTGCAACACACACTGTAGTGGCCTAGGAAGCTGCGCTATTGTGAAAACCCCAAACTGCAAAAGAAGTCCGAGCAAAGGTGCTGAAGGATCTGAAGTTGATCGAGGCTTGCTTAGACGGACTGTAAGAAAACAGCTCCTTGGAGGCTTCCTGCTCTGAGATTGCGGGGTCTAGGGCTCGGGCGGTAAACACAGATCGAAATCCTCTGAAATCAACTTATCGTTTGACTTCTCTCATTACAACTTCCGTGCACCTTTCAGGTAGGGTCGGGTGGCTTCCGGCATGTCCCCACAAGTTTTGCCATGAACTTCTAGGTAGGCTTTTTGGGCAGAACGTTCGAAGCTCTGATTGAGATGCGGGCATTCATTCCAATTAGATTGCAGTTCTGGGCGAGTGTAATTCTAGCAAGTCAAGCAGTCTGAGCCCCTACGAGTATGGCTTCTCCGTTTCATGTTTTGCCAGTTGTTGAGAAGGCTATACCTACAGTGCGCCTTTTTCTCAGGTGTTGCCGGGACGGCATGGCATCTCGTATAGTGGCAAGTATTTTCTCTTCTGGGTTTTTGTAGGCAGCAAAATCCGGCCTGAGTGGCTACAACTGCCCTATGATCTCGAATAGTGGTCTGTGCTGTGCTGTCGGGTTGGTGGCAGAGGATCCCACAAATTCATGACGCACTGTGTAGGGTGTCCGTCGGTGGATGAAACAAATCTTGCAACAGATCATACGGTAGATAAGGTGGTGAACAATTTTTTCATCCACAGCTGGTCAAGGTTCCTGTAATCTGTAGGGTCACACCATAACTGACAAACGAAGGGGAGGCCATTGATCATGACTTTCTTCCTGTTTAGACTGTTAAACCCTTGATCTCATCTCTCTTCCCGCAAGCCCAACTACCCAAACAGAGGAGGGTGTGTCCTTTGCTACATGGCCTTGGTAGCCTTATTATAGAGCATAGCGGCTTTGCTTTTTTGTTCTTGTGAAGTGATGGCACTCAGTATGGACCCGTATAGTGACTCCAGCCAGTTTAAGCTCCGAGCCGTAAACCCTAAAACTTGAACTGAAAGCCCGAAGCTTAAGACCTCAACTCCAAATCATACATCCCAGACATCCCCAGACTGTGCGTAAGACAGCTGAGGTTCTGTGGAGGTTTTGTAGGAACCGACACGTATTGTGAAACGGAGCTGGGGGCCCTTTTGAAGAACTGCCAAAAGCCACATGAAGAGCTGGAATGAGCACGGCCAACCACCTTACGGGCCCCTCTCCGATCTCATGAATGTACACAGCCCTGAGATTGGATTGCACGAGCTGCTGTCCCACGACCAAGTTATCTTATGAAGGGTTGCTGAATCATTCCACTCTGAACCCTAAACTTCTTACTCGCTGAAGAGGACGGAGGTAGGTTTTATAGTGTGTCGGAACCCTTGTTACGCACGGCGGCGTGTTGCATGAAGATAGCCGTAAGCACCACCTAGGGTTCCCCCGATTCCCGCACATTGCTTGGACTTGTGGTACCTAGCACCGCCCTATGCAGTTTTTGACACCTTCAGAGTAAATTCTAGATACCATTACAGGATAGTCCTTGTCTAGCTAAACAATGCCATACGGCAAGCATGCCTCAACATCATTTTTCTGCAGCATCCTAGAGCAGGAAACCGTTGTCACTGAGGGGGAGTATTTTGCTTGCAGGAGACTGCGGAAGTTGTGCCAGGTTTTTGGTTTGAGTTAGGGCTCCAGCTATGCCAAAGGCCCTACTGTGCAGCCATGCATGCTCAATCCAAATTCCTAAGAGCTCTTTGACATCTGCTGCTCATGATAATCGTCTGGCAAACAAAAGAATAGTAGCCATGCTTGAGACAAGCTGCCGCAATCCTCGAAGCAGAGTCTGCCGGACGCTTGCTTTCACGGAAGCGTTCGCTGACTATTCAAGACGCTAAGGCCTAAACCTCAAGCCAAACCATATGATGAACAGGAAGCCGAACTTGGAATTCCTTAGTGCATCAGCCAAATGCGGTTGTTTGGATTACAGGCAGTTTCCAAAAGCCTCCCTCTGCTAGCTTTGCATTGGGTACCCAGCTGTAAGCTACTCACTTCTGACTGTCCCTGACTGACTTGTGTCCTGGCGCCTGAAATCTGTGTCCCAGACCGTATGTTTGGTTGCTCAGCTGTTAGAAGTTGAGCACGCGCCTGAACTTCCGAATGACATCCCAATGTTCCTGAAACAGTCGTACACACCAGAAGCCTGACTCCAACAGTTGAGGTCCCAATGCTAGGATTGACAACTCTTTAGACATAGTGGTTAAAGGTTTAGGGCCAAGCCCCTCTGCCGACTATTATCTCTTGGAATTGCAAAAGAGGCGAGTCCTGGCATGCGTGCGAGCAAGAATGACGGTAGCATTATTATGAGTTATGAGGATAGTGTAGGGAATGATTGCTGCTTAGTGTGTCAGCTGGGCTTGGGGCCTAAGCAGAGAGCTGCGTGAAGGAAAGCCCAAATCGGAAAGCCGTCGTGACAAAGTTCGCGCAGAGCACCATTTTCTCTCGGCTTGGATGTCGATCGCATCCACAAGAAGCACCCGTAGTCTGCTCATACGCGAAGGATCGCTAAAAGCATGCCTATTTAAGGAAAGATGCCATTTGAGCCTAGAAGGAACACTCGCCTTGACTAATGACAGTTCTCTGGAAGCGTGTGTCGAGACCTGTGGGCTCAGATGCATCCAACAAAGCCAGGAGGACCCCGACTCCAGGAGGGAGACTAGCCGCTTTGATTTAAGTTGGTGCCCAGAGGCACGACAAGAGTCAAGACCATCCGGCAGCTTGTCAAGATATTTTACAGAGTGTACATGCAGAGTTCTTGCCTTAGAGTTTGAGGTCTGCAACCCTGCATCTCCAGCTGGTAAACATGCCCTATCAACGCCTGACCTAAAGCGCGAGAGCCGGCAGCCTCACAATCCAGACTTAAAACCTCAATCCCGGCAACGCCAAGCCTCTCATTCTGCGCCGCACCTCCGGGCCCTCATCTCAGCATCTACATTCAAAGAAATACAATCTAGCCGGAGTGGGGTTTAGGGCTTCGGGCTTAGGTTGGGCCACAATTCGGGTGTACGCTCCGCAGTTTTTCTGGCAAGCAACATTTGATTAAGGTGGACGCTTGGCATACTTGTGATGAGTCCCTGGGTGTCATGTGCGAGTTTTCCACATTTGGACCCTCCTCTACACTGCGATTGCACTCAGATCCTCGTAGGAGGGCCGCCCATCCCCGAAGGGTGCCAAAATTTTAACTCTCTCTCAAATTCTTCGCATGATGATTTGAGTTCCACGATGTCCGAGGCTAATCTTACTCCCTAATTAATAGATGCAGGCCCTCGAGTCGCGAACCGTCCATGGCAAAAAGGGTTGCGACCGGAACATCAAGGATTGTACTCCAGGGGTGATATAGGGAATGAGTTGGGGAGCAGTGGGCGAGCAGTGATCCTAGGACTAGAATAGGACGTGAACGTGCATGCTTCGAACCATGAACCATATTATGCTTTGTAGTCCCCAAAGAGATATGCGAACTCTGGAAGGGAGCTGACAGTCTGGATTGCCACCAAGAGACTAGAATTCGGTTTGTAGAAGCCTCCACAACGGGGACTAGCATCTTGTCGGACGTTTTGTTACTTGGGATTTGTTTCTAGGAAGCATGGAAGCAGAACTCGGCAAGGTTTGGGAGCTTGATCTGGAGCTTTCGATTCCAAACCGAAGCCGTCAACCCCTAAATCCAAACCCTCCAAAGGAACGTGGGGAAGCTCTACTACCAATCTTCACAATACTTCGCATCCATAAACATCCTGAAATCATGGTAGACCATCCGAAGCGGGGTAAACTACCCTATGCCGGCGCGTAGCCAAACAACTCAAAAAGTAGGGTGACAAGTACTTGTGCGATCCAATACTGCGCTTGCCACCCCAACCTCAAATCCGAAATCGGAACCCCTGGAAATCCAAAGCGTTCAAACCCTAATTCGCTAAATCCCTGAGCCCTGGATTGATCCCCGCAGCGCCTGGCGCAAGAAGAGCATTCAGATCTCCCGTGTTGCGCGGCCGGCTGCCTTTGAAGCGCACATGATGTCACTGCTCCTTGTCGAAATCTGGGGAGTGTCTTGTGGAATCCTTAGCCTGGCGCGCACTTTAGGGAGGGAGAAGTGTACAACTCCCTTCACAGTCCCGTACGAGCATACCTAGATTAATTATTCCGCGTTTTTCCGTGTTACCAACCAGAAAGAAAATTGCCGTCTTCGGTGGTTCTGGACCCCATCTTTCGACTAGCCATTGCATATCTGTTTCAAGAGGTGACCAGCTTTGCATCTGGGTAGCTGTCAAATTCCTGCCTTCTGTTTCGGGAACCCTTTGCGCAGTACGGAGAGCTGATGGTTGACAATCACGCGTATGTGTATGGAGTTCCAGACCGTCACGTGCCTGAAAGTGATTGAAAGGCCAGACCCCCCGAATCCTAAACCTCACACTCTAAACTTTCCTCAACTTCCCTAAGCTCCCCTAAACTTTCCAACTTCCCTGAGCCATGAACTGAATGCGTTCCGATGCTGCGGCCGTGTGCGCTCGCACCTCAACCCTAAACCTTTATTGTAGATTGAAGGAGGACACAACTGGTACCTATCCTACCCGTACGGATTGTGGTAGAGGCAGGCAACATAGTAAAAGAGAAATAAGCTGAGGTGCTACCGGTTCACTTTCATCGACGAGGCTGTTGGCCAAACAAGCCTGCACAGTAGACGCTTCTCTTTGAGGGCTTTCAGGGAATAGGTTCTTGTGTCGACCTCTGCGCTCACAGTCCAAGAAGCCCCAGGTGGAGCTTACACTCAAGAGCTTAGGGTTCGGTTCCTTGGCCCAGGCTCATCTTGTTTGTGAGCCAATCTTCGAAAGCCTTTAAAGGTCATGTTCCATCATCGTCGCTGAATGCAAGGAACGTGCCAGCGGCCAGCATATGAGAGCATCCGCTTTGAAATTCAGCTTGTTACAGGTCAGATTCCTTCTGTCTGATAGCTTGTTGTGACTGAAGGAAACAATGGCGCGGACAATCATGAGCTAGCTAGTGACCGTAGCGCTCTCCTTCTTTTGTTCCCTGCTATGTTC